TCGGCAATTTCCGACCGGCTTTTACCGATTCGTGGATCTCCGTCGCCAAGGATCATTTGCATTTAATACTTGACAAGCGGGCCGACAAAGCCCCCGGGCCGGCTCAGAGTTTCCATCGTAAATAAGCATTACGATATAATTTTCTGTCACAACAATGGCTGCCGGTGGTACAAAAGGTTTAGCCACGAGGCGACCGTCGGCTAGTAGCCGCGGACAATGAGAACGTCCGCGTTACGCCATAAATTGATTTGCGAAAGCGTTCCTGAAAAAGCTCTCTGCGAGGAGAGCCCGCTACGCGCGCTGACGGGTGGGGGGGGGGGGGGGGGGGGGAGGGGAGGGGCTGGGGAGGCCCGGGCTTTTGAGCTTATACCGCAAAAATTACGTCGCGAGAGGGATTGTATTTATGTTACATAATTACACCACGCGCGAATGGCGGATAGAGGGGTCCGGAGAGGGTGGGAGAGGGGAAGAGGACGCCGCGAGGAGACGACCAAGCGTAGAGGAGGAGAGGGGGGGGGGTGAAAGAGGAGGAAAAAAACGCCTGGCCGAGGAAAAGTTTTTCGGCGGCTGGCTCCGACCGGCCGACCACCCGGCTAATGAATAGAAATAATTCTCGTGCAATTGTGCTTTTCGGTAGTTTTCAATTAACAGTCGCCTCCCCTTCTCCGATTCCTCCTCCTCCTCCTCCTCCACTCCCTCCCTCCCTCCCCGACCACTATCCTTTCGACGAAGCTTTTGCGCCCATTCTCCGCCAGCGCCCTTCCAACGAACACCGCCGCGCGAATGGACGAGCTTTAAGTTTTTAAACGGGTCGAACCGTACATTTCCTAGATCGTAATTACGGTTTTTTTTTTTTATTTCTTTTCGGAGGACCGTGGAATAGTATCATTGGTACCGCGAACGCGCTGTTAAATCTCGGGGAGGAGTAACGATTCGGAAAATATTAGGGTGCGGGGAAAGTTCTGTTCGTTGAGGTGTGGGTAGGTACGGGGTTGGGGAATTATTATTTATCACTCCTTGAGTGCTGTTTTTACGAGGACCAGCGGAAGTTGTAAATATATGTTGGAATTTTTGAGTGTAAGGATTCAGGAAATTTTAGGGTGCCAGGGAATTGCGCTCTGGATACACAGTTAATAATTATTTATCATTTCTGGAGAATTTTTATTTATTTTGGATGTGTAAGATTGCGAAGATGGTCTAGGATTTAGGGGATGGTTTTTGATACTAGGTTTTAGAAGAATTCTCTTACCGAAGTTAAGTTTTCATAGCCGAAATTTAGTAGAACTTATTAGAAGGTTTCGACAGAAATGCATTGAAGTATATGATTTTTAAAAAAATATTGTTGTACAAAATTTTCTTTCATTCTTCCTATAAATAGAACCTGGAGTTGCCAAAAACTATAAATATATATTTGTCAAAAATTTCTTACGAAATTTTGTATCATTAGCAACGAAACAAACCTGCATGCCATAAATAAAGATAACCCCAGATTCTGTCACAAATTAAAAATCACTTTCACCCTGTCAAGTCAATAGTATTCCAATCTTGAGCCCGAACGATCGCGGCGACAGAAAGTCGATAGCGCCTCGTCCTAATTCGATGGCGATCCGAGCACGTTCCACGCACGATATCGAGGGGGTGGCCGTCGTCGGAACGAAAGAAGCCCCGGGAAGATGCTTCCGGGAATTCCGTCGGGAGTATTTTCGCCAGTCAATGAATTTACAACCCCTCTTTACCGAGTTCACCCTTAGCCGCTTAACGAGAACTGCTTCACGGCACGTGAGAAAAAAAAAGCTAACCGGTTCGGTGGATGCCCGTGGAAGGGGGAGGGCGTGTAAGCGGTCTTGAGGGGTGAATTAGCGCGAAATAAGTGCAGAAGAGCTTCAACAGCCACTGCGGGGGTGACCCGACGATAGAACCGCGCTGGCTTTCGGGGGTCGCGTGTACGTGCACGTCGTTTCGTCGGTGTGCGGCTTCGTAAGACGGTCGTAAGGGTGAGCCTGTAGGAGTCGAACGGGACGATACCTTCTAGGGGCAGGTACGATGGAAGCGAGGCGGTGGAAAACGACGTAACGCGCATAAAGTAAATTGCCGCGAAATCTGCGCGATCCTCGCGAAACGGCGCGGATAAGCGAAACAAATAAAACAAGAGCTCGAAAGACGGGAGGAGATAACGCGGGAAAGGGGTGAAAATTGTAGCGTGATTCGAGGGGTCGTAAAGGTCTTATCGAACGATGCTAAGAGATGAGTGATAGGTTTCCTTCGAATAGGAATTAATAACACTGTTATTTAAATCATACGATATTGTAGGAATTACTTTAATTTTTATTATCGTTCTTGATGAATTTTATTTTAATTTTTTTTCAAGTCCAAATGTAGGATATGTTATGTAAGCTGTCATAGAGTATATTTGTGGATCCATTTAGGAATGGATACATGAGACCGTCACACATGTCTACTTTAGTTTTGCTCGAGAGATTCATAAAGTTATTATTTTTGATAAATTTCATTTCAGTCTTTTTTCAAGTCCAAATGTAGCCCATGTTATATACGTTGTATTTATGAATCCATTTGAGAATCAATATAAAAGACCGTCACTCATTTCAAAGTATCAGTAAAATATTGTCTTCGTATTCCTTATTACAATTACCTATTAACATTACATTTACAGAGCACCGTGACCCATTCAAAATCTTACAAGTTCATTCTTTTTTTTATTCACACAAAAAGGACAATCATAATCCAAATTGATATCCTCTCAAGCCTCCTAATTAATTTCATCAAACCCACCTCACCCCATCAAATCACCCCTTTATTACCAGAAATCAGATAAGAAATCTCCGAAAACCTAGCGTCAACATACAAAAAAGTTGTACCATTTTCTTTTCCCGATTGCAACTCCCATGCGAGTTCCAAGCACAGAATACACAGCGTCCAGGGTAATTCCGCGTCCCTCTTGCCAGCACGGCGACTATCGTAACGAAATTCGCGATACGACGTAGGAGGGGTGGCAAAAGTAATAGGAACAATCGCAGTCTTTTTTACAGAACGCTCGGACGTTTTCCTCTATTCAGTCCACAAGCCGAGCATGAAAAAGCATACATCGTCCGTTACCGTGGGCGCGTTGTAACGCTCCACCGCCGCGGCGCTCCCTCTCCAACCCCTCTACACCCCCTCACCGCTCCCGGTGGCGTATCGTCGGCACACGCAGACCATTACAATTTCAGTTACATTTTAATTAGCAGAGAATACTAATGTTTCGCGAGCGGCGGTCGCAGGCAAGTAGCCAATGAGCGGCCAAGTTGACTCCTGCAACTCGAGCCCGACTCCGCGCGTTTCTGTCCCCGCTATTACGCCCGGCAACCCCGTGAAACCGACATGCATTTCACACCCCATATTCGCCACTTTATTCGTAGCGGCTGGCCCGGCGCGGAACAGAAAAAAAATAGAGAAGAGAGAGGGCGGACGGAAAAAGAAGGCCAACGCGCTCTGTGTTCCTCGTTTATGTTATTAGCTACCACTCTGGCGCCGAGTGTTCTTCAGAGAAAAAAGTACAGGGGGTGTGGTGAGAATATAAACCACGCTGTTACGCTTTCTGTTTTCTAGCTTCGCGCCTCTTGTTTCTCGCAATTAACGCGTGCCGCGGAATGCGCGAGGAGCAGAGATTCCGTTCGGGGTGACTGCGAGAAGAGTGTTTCTGGGGGTGGAGGGAGATTTCGAGGTTCATTCTTCGAGGGGTTGTATGCGATTTGGTAGTGGAGTACTGGATTTTTGGTATCTCTTTTAGGTTAATTATTTGGTATTTTTGAAGTACTTGTAGGCTTGTGAAAAAATTGATTGAGGAATATTAAATATAATAGAGAATGTTAGTTATATAAATTTAATATATACAGATACATTTACATTTTGTTAAAAAACAAAATTGTATATCCAAATCCATGATATAAATTGATTCTTAAAATAGATGACTTTTAAAACGAAGAATCTAAATTTAAATAATTAATAATTTCAAAAGGTAAACTGTTTGTTATTTTTAAAATGCTTCTGGACTCGTGGAAAATATATTGAGGAATATAATATTAAATACATTAGAGAAAATTAGTTATATAAATTTGTTATATACAGATACGTTTATGTTTTGTGTAAAAATAAAATTTTATACCCAAATGCATCATATGAATTAATTCTTAAAATAGATGACTTTTAAATCGAAGAATTTAAATCTAAATAATTAATCATTTTAAAAGGTGAACTTGGTGCAAAGGTGAAAGGAGAAATAGAAGGATATTAAATATAATAACGTTATTTATATAAATTTGATATATACACACACCTTTACGTTTTATTGAAAAACAAAATTGTATATTCGAATGCGTCTTGAAAGAAAAGATCTAAACATAAACAACTAACATTTCTAAAAGGGAAATTTACCATCCTTCCAATACAAACTTGTCCACTCTACTCCCAAAAACAGAAACGTGTTAAAATGAGGGATACATTCAAGGGTTGACACGAAAGTGTGGGAGGCATTCGAACGGATGAGATTTCCTTGCACGCGCAGAGAAAGCCAAGGACTTAGGCATTAGAAAACACAAAGGTGGGGCGGAAGGAAACAAAGGGGAGTATTCGAATAATATTGTATAATACTTCCTAAGTCGTAAACTTCCCTTGCTTCTTGGCCGGACGAAATTCCGAAAGTTTCGTGCCGTCGGTCGTACAACAAATGCGATTATCGATGTCTCGCATCGTTCATCCCCTAAAACGACGGGGAGTAAAGCACCGTCGCCGACCCCACGCGTTCGTTCAACCCTCTCTCTCTCCATCGCTTCTAACGGCCATTGCGTACTATGTTCTGGATCCCGTCCAGAAATAATATTCGCGCAGATTACGCCAGATATGGCCAAGACATTACTAAAAATACGCGGAAGCGCGACGTTCGATTACAGGCGTAATAACGAAAATGTCGCCTCCGTCGCGTACGTAAATGTCGTTCAACTCACATTAACGCGCCACGACACCCTGTCTCGGAAGCCTGGGAAGAATACACCACTGACCTGGAACAACAAGAAAACGTGCAGGTTAAAACGAGTCGTGATAATTGATTGCTGAAGTTTTTTTTTTTTTTTTTTTTGGAATTAAATGAGTGGAATATTAAAATTATGAATTAACCCTTTGACCTACGATTTACTGTAGGATGCTGTAATCAGGAAAAAAGTTCTTTGCGCCTTTTCATACGACTTGTCTGACTCGTGTTTTTCACGCGTGACTCATATTCTGTATCACGATTTTCGCACGTTGTCATAAGTTAAGGGGTTAAACTGTCTTCATTCACGACCCCATTTATGATTGTGATTTTTATCGCGGCCCAAAAAATATAAAATAAAGATATGTAAATATTTTGTGTTTATTCATTGATTTGGTAATAATATATATATATAATATTAGAATTTGTTTACAAACATACGAAAATATGATATTAAAAATTGCACTAGAAGTTGTAAAATTGTATTTACTATAGTTACAAAAATTATATACTCCATTTTTCATCAAAACTGCATTCTTTGCAATAACACAAATAGAATACTAAATATTTTACATTAAATTCTCGCGACGCGATATTTTATTCTTCCATAACCTCAATATCGTTTGAATTTTGTTTCTATTAATAATCTCGCGAGTAAAGCAATACTAGAATAAGTGATCGACACTTTACGAGCTAGTTTCGTAACCTCAATAGTATCTAACTATAATCCAGACCTCGCAACGCGACATCGGCTTAAATAAAATTGGAATCGACCGAGAACGATCAATTTTTCCCAATTAAGTTCCCTGGACTGGGTTCCTCCTAAGCTCGGGCACCGGTCGGCCAAAGACAATGCGGCCGCGATTTAGGGTGACCGTTGAGTCGAAAGCCATTCCGACGTATGCCTTCGAGTGGAGGCGAGCCCGCCCAATGAGGCGACGGTGCCGTTAATTAACGAACTCGAAAAGTAACGTACTGAAAGTACAACTCGACGGAGCATTGAGAGGTTCCGGGGACTGGTCGAGGAGGAAGGGAACGAGCGAGCCGGGCGTAGGACGGAAGCGCGCGCGTATAAAGGGTCGGTGTCTGGCCAGACGGGCAGAAATGAAGCAGCAAGGGTTTTGTTTGTCCGGCTGTCCACCCCTTTCCTTCTCCCAGTTCACCCCCGCGGGCTGGAGCCCTCGTTGTATGAACCTCGCGGCCCCCTTCAACCCCTTCTGCTCCACCTCTAACTCCATCCTCTGGCACCCCTTCCTCTGGCCCTCTCCTCTTCTACCTCCTATCCGTTCCAACTACCCCCCTTCGCCACCCTGTTACACTGTTCTTACACCCCTGAACCTCCTTCCCCTATTGACGAGCAACAATGCACGCGTGTACAATGTTTGCACGCATCCTCGCGCGTGTATCTTCGCGGGGATGTAATATTGATTACTTCGAGCGAATTTCGGGGTGAAACTCGAGCTGGGACTCCCTTGGACAACCCCATTCCCCTTCGGTCTCCAGTGCATCAGACTTTCGCGGTTGCTTGGTTCGGATGAACTTTATCTCTGGAATCCCGTCTTGAAGGATTCGAATGCTCTTAATTATTGATCGCGAGGGTGTAGGAAGACTGAGGAATAATTTGAGCCGTTCACGAATCGATTAACTGATCGATCCACTTTTTGAAGAATCTTGAATTTATGTGTCTAAGCATTTGGTATAGTCGTACAATTTTATGTTTGTAAGAACATTCCTGAAAAGGAAAGTAGCTTTTGCAATATTTATATGAATTTATATTATACAGGGAATTTTAGAAAATAATGTATATTATTTCATCGTGTTTCTGAACTTTTCTTTTTCCTTACATATTTAACGTCGCATCGATCATTGGTTATTACCGACTGCCTTTTATGTGGTTATCCTTATTGCTAGATGTTGGTCTAAATATGTGTATCTTTAAGTATCTTTAAGTTGGACTATCTCGTGTAAGTTTTCTTCCGTGCTCCTTGCTTCTTTTAAACCAGACCTCCAAAGTAATGATTATTTTTGTATTCATTACAATTTTGAACAATTACTTTTGAATTAAAAAGTAGTTATTTAATTAATTCTTGATCACTTTTGTTTTTAGCAATTACTTGAATACTAGTTGATTTATGATCGAATTGAATTGAACGAATAATTTTTGTGTTACGCTATCCATCCCTCCATCATTCGTCTCATCCAAATCGTAAAATTTTCTAAAATCTCATGTCGACCTCCCCTGTTTCGATTTCGAAACGGTTCGTCGGAATGAGCGATTTAAATGATACCATTCCCAGCAATGCTCGTGTCAGAAGTCCGCGGCGAACGTTTCGCTTCAATTTTGCCTGGAAAATTGAAATAAAGTTTACTGTTCCCGCACAACCCGACGGAGTTACGTTTTTCCCGCGCAGTCAATTTGCAGGTCCTTTGCTGAGAGTTGCGCGCGCCCGCGACATGCTAATAATTGGGGAATGAAAAATGCAACAATACCGAGATCGTTGTAACTCACGCCGCGGCAATATCCAGCTAAAAGACTCGTCATTCCGCTCCAGTAAACCGTCCCGCGACTTAAATTGCGTCACGGTTTTCCGACTCGTACCGCCAACGTTTAATTCTATTCGCGATCCTTCCACCGGTACCCTCTCCCCGTGCATCCACGTCCTCTTCCCTCGGCGTCGCTTCACTCTGATTCGCATCGCGAGACCCGTGTGTCGCGAATCGAAGGACAAAGAAGTCAGAAATAAGATAATTGCTATTGCAATCGCAATTTTCATCCGGGACGATGAAGCGAAGTGAGCGAAAGAGAGAGAGAGAGAAAGAGAGAGAAAGAGTAGAGGAGGATAGGTAGAGAGATAAAACAAAACCAGGATGCAGACAGCGTTGAGACGAAAATCGAAAAGCGGTGAATATTAAATAATTTTTGTTTGGAAAATGACTAGCGGGTTCCCGATATTGCAAGAAATTTAATTGGCTCAGCAACTTAATGTAGAAATGAATGTAAAGAGATAAGAGGAATTGTGATACTAAACGATGCAGAATTTTATTGAAGTGCATTTTGATTCTAGTGATTATTAATTCAGAATTTTGTTAGAATATACAGAGGTGTGCCAAGAAGGTTGAAGGTCCTTGAAAGGGGTGGTTCGGGGGGTGATTTGAATCAACTTTTCCCTTAGCTAAAATGTTGTCCGAGGCTTCGTTAACGAGATATTAACAGAAAACCCCGATCAATCAGAGCGCGGCGCCGGTAGAGCGCCCGCAGTAGCTTAGGCCCCGTGCTAGACAGACATAGTAGCATAGGCTACGCGCTCGGCGGCCGCAGTAGCTTAGGCCCGCGCTAGACAGTCACAGTAGCATGGACTACGTGCTCTTCTTGGTTTTCTCTTAATATCTCCTCAACGAATTACCCCCCGAACCACCCCTTTTAAGGACCTCCAACATTTTTGGGACACCCTGTTTATTCCCAGAGATGGGCAAAACCCTAGGTTTCGAATAAATCTGAAGTTTGCCGATGTGTTTGTCTTGTTTCCTTTTTTGGAAAATATTCGGAAGAGGAAACGAGACAAACATATCGGCAAACTTCAGATTTATTCGAAGCCTAGGGTTTTGCCCATCACTGTTTATTCCAGAGTAGTTGAATTTAATTTTTAAATAAAATTGTGATTGGAATGTAGACAGCTTCAAAAATCGAAAGTGGTGAAAATTAAATGATTTTTGTTTGGAAAATACGGAAAGTGAGTTTTAGAGACGGCAAGGAATTCAATTGGCTAAGCAACACAGTATAGAGAAATGAGTGTAAAGAGACAGGAGAAATTCTGATACTAAACCAAGCAGAATTTTATTGAAATGCATTTTCATTCAAATGATTATCAAATCGAAACTTATAATTGTTAGAATATACACTCCAGATTAAATTCCAGATTAATTTTTAACTAAAAGTGTAGTCGTAATGCAGACTACAAGATAAAATTTAAAATTCACATACTGAACCATGTATAATTGACATATGCGAATATCTTCCCAACGGCCGAATTATTCACGAACGTCTAGTTTATTCGACCGATTAATCGAATAACGTTGGGTCCGTGTGTCGCGAATCGAAGTACGAAGGAGCGATAGTAGAAATAAGATAATTGCTATTACAATCGCAATTTCATCCAGAACGAGGAGGCTGCGGGAGAAAAGTGAGCGATTCGTAGGCGATGGGTGGAATGGGGGAGGAAAAGGGGGACAGGTCAGAAGACGAGAGGTACGCGGGGGTGTACGATGCGGCGGTAACTGCCACAGAGATTCGAACTACAAAGTACGTTAATGTCGCGCTCGCACCCCCGCGCACCCTCGGCATCGTTCCGATGCCCGCAGACAGTTTGTTGTCGAAGCTTCGAGGATTACACAAATGAGGTTGTTCAGCGAGAGAAATGTACATTCTCTGGCACAAAGCTGCTCCGCCGCTCAGCAACGTACGGAATTAAAAGAGGGGTCCGAGGCAAGGTGAAAAGTTCCGCCTCGCTATCGCTTCGCATCGCGGACAATATTTTCTTTGCTGAAAGCCCGCCCGCGTAGAATGGATTTCCATCGAGCCGCGTTTAAACCCTTCAAGAACCGGCGGGGGAGGGGTTCCCCACTTTTATCGGGACCTACCTCTTCCGTCAATATTGCCCTGTACACGTTTTTACGCGCATCTTTGCCGAGTGAATCGTCCCCTGACCAAGCAAACGTTCGCTCGGACGATCAATGGAAAGTCTCGTCCAGGAAAGTAGAATAATGTACCTATGGTTGTGACTCGATTAGGATCTTACTGTAACTAGTCGAACATGGCCTTCGGGTTGTCACTGGACGGCTTGAAAGACGTGTGGAGGTGAAGTTTGATAGATTTTATTTGATTCGAATGTATCAGGGGACAAGATAGAGTTGATTGTAAATTTTAAGGTAGCCTTTTGTGTTTTTTATTTTTAAATTCATGAGTATTTTCTTAAAGGAATATTGTACTCATATGTACTCATATTTTAAGAATATACGTGATTTAGTTTTAAT